CAAACAAAAGCATACAATGAGTTGAGAGTTGGGTTGATGTCCAGCCGTCCGACAGTACTGTCAGCGCTGACCACCAAATGCTATGCGAGAAGTCGTCGCCACAAGTGATGTGAGGGGGAAGTCGTATGAAAGGCAGGCATTGACTGATAGCCCAGTGATGGTGGACAGGGAGCTACCGGTCTGTTGTGTGGCTACCACGAGGACATGCGAAAGGGTGAGAGGTATTCCGATAGGTATTCCGATAGGTATTCCGATAGGTATTCCGATAGGTATTCCGATAGGTATTCCGATAGGTATTCCGATAGGTATTCCGATAGGTATTCCGATAGGTATTCACCGGTGGATGCGATGCACCGGTAGCTAAGGACCATCCCATCGACACATCCACCGATATATCAGATAAACAGTATATACCGGATGGACAGTCTGACCGGACAGTCCTCTTGGCCGGGCTATCGTCCACCGGAGCCTCAAACGAATACATCACTATTAGACCACCGCATGAACCGGAGCTCACAAACAACCGGTGCTCACGACTGTCCACCACCTCAGGGCTCATTAGCACAACTGCCGACACCACCACTCATACCAACACCAATCAATGTCATGTGACCTAGAAGACCACTGAACTCACGTCTGTTTCCTAAAACAGTGAGCTAAGGGTTACTTTGACTAAAAGTTTGGCTTTTGAGTAAGTTAACAATTACTTAAGATTTTCTCAACTTTTGAAAAAACAACAATATTTGCGATATTTTCGCACATTTTCTTTGGGGCGCGAAATCAAACTCTTTTGACACGATTTCGAAATCTTCTTCCAGTTATCACTGGATATCACCACAAATGACTTCCAAGACATCTTCAAAAGTCGACTCATGTGCTCATATGGTGTGCGCCCCGCCTCCTGAGTCACATGAGTCGCCCCCGGAAGCCCCGCTCGACCAGGGGGTGGACGGGGTAGGAGAGGTCCCCACCAGACCATCGGTGGTGTTACCGATGACCCTAAACATCAGTCCAATCACTGGAACCACTGGTCAATCTGACTCCTCGTCAATAAAGGGGCGACCGCTAGGGTTGGCTAACCAGAGCCTCAACGGATCCGTAACTACTGGCACTCATGGAGTGGTCACCCATTCGGAGACTCCAGAAGTCGAAGTCGACACCAATTCAGATGACGACGACGGCTGCTGTCATAACGGGTGTTGGGTTTGGGTTAAGCCGGTCTTAACCAGCGTTTGGAAACCAATTAAACGGATCCCCAAAAAGATCCAAAACTTGTGTCGACCGAACAGACGCATAGACTCTGAGGACAGTAAGAGACCACAGACCACACCAACACCTGAGCCCACAGTAGAGATGTCCGACCACTCGATAACAGCGCTTGAGATGAATGGACTCAACGACATCATCAATGAGGAGGTCGTCCTCTCAGTGAGTCCAGAGTCGGGTGCAGTCCTTGCAGTCACTCCGTGTCCGCCGCCGTCTCCCGAAGAGGAGATGAAAGCCATCGAAACCATTGAGACGTCTGAAGGCATCGCACCGACAGATGAGATACAAACACATGTAGAGCCCAAAAAGGGTGACCCAAACAAAGTGGTGACGACTCGGGAGGAGAAGAGAGTTCGTCGCCGACGGAAAAGTCGGTGAACTGAAGACCCGAGACGTTGTCTCTTCGAGAGATACCTCTTGAGCCCTCTCTTGCCACAGATATATCTTCAACTGAGTGCACGTAAACTGATCACTCGATTGAAGACAACCGCAGACTTTGACGACAACTTCGAGCACATCATCACTGAATCGCTGCCTCTGTTGTCGGCCAATGGAGTCGTCCTATTGAGTCGGCCGCCAGAGTTCGGACACTTCGGTCAAGTGGTGTCTGCAGTAGTCATGTGGGAGGAGGTCTCGAAGACTGTCTACGAGTGGCAACGGTAGTTTAAGACAGCGAGAAGACTTCGCGTGGCTCTCTAGGTTTGCCGAGAAGTAAACAGCGTGTGAATACACGACAGTCAGATGCTGTGGGTTGGTGAGTTACTGACATGCGAACACCACATGGAGTTGCCGGAGACGGACCTACTTTTCTATATCATCGCTAACTACGAGACAGTGTCTTATCAACAGATGCACACCATTTGCAAAGACATAGTCCGCGGAGTCAAACACATCCATGACATGGGTTTCACTCATTGGGACCTAAGACTGGAAAATATTTTGTTAGTCAGAGACTTAGGGGTCGGCAACTGTGTGGCCAAAGTGGCTAACTTTGCACGGATTAGGTCTTCCCGTCGCGCGAGTTCTGGTCAACCCATTGAAGGGTATGAGAGGTACGGAACCCCTGATTACAGTTCACCCGACACTCTGTACGACAACCCAGTAGTGGTCGACACCGAGAAGTGTGACGTATGGGCCGTAGGACTCATACTCTACTCGTGTCTCTATCTTCAGCCGCCGTTTCCTGCTTTCAAAGACTCGGAGAACAAAGAGTCGATCGAAACGAGGAGACAATTATTGACCGAAGAGTTGGAGGATATCTACGAAAAGCCATTTCCCGAGCGCTTCCGTCGGTCTGTCGACCAAACAGTCGTCAATCAACTGCTGAGACGTCTCTTAGCGGCCAACCCTTCAGATCGGTGTTCGCTGTCGTCTCTAATCACTGACCAGTGGTTCACAACAACACATAAACCCATTCGTCGACAAATGCCTCCCGAATCCAAATGGGAATCGTTTAGCGAATCCATTGATCGACTCATTGCTGAGTTGAGGGCAACAACTAAACAAAATCTCGTCGACTTCTGGGAACTCATAATTAGATCCCGTCTCCAAGTATTCTCCGAAAGAGTCGTACGAATGGATCGACTCTTAGCGATAGACAACCGCCGGGTCGAGATGGGGGTCTGGGCGAAGACGGACGCAGAGGAAGGCAACGATTGTCTCATTATCTTCAGACCACACCCTGAAGACGAGACTAAAGACGAGGTAACGTGTGTTCCGATGAGTGCATCACAACTTCAGACAATTCAAAGCAATTTTAGCCAAAGTCTTGCAGATATGAAGAGATATCGTAGCGTATTGTACGGCGACGAGGACTCAGTGCACACATAATCAGCTAATATGAGGGGAAATGGAGTCAACA